TAGAGATATATGTTTCTTTGAGGAGAGGCGGGATAAACTTCTTGTTAGAAAGTTTACAAATGTGCATGTAGAATGTTTTCTATGTGATCTTAATGTCAGTTACAATACTAACTTCTTTTATATCAAGCAACTCAATGGATATCAGAAACAATTGTTTTTTTGCTGTGCATAAGACAAGCTCAGTGAAATAATGAAATATGTTAGTCATCAGATCCTCTTCCCTGTACATCAAACCACACTGCCCATAATGCCTGCATCCCTTCCTCAGTATATCCTTCTTTATGATATGACAGACAATACCAGATCTGTAAGACTTCACAGAAATACTGAGTCATGTTTCAGTGCAAATTTAGTTCCTGATTTTATCAAACACAGCTAGATAAAGTCATATTTGAATGCAGATGTGGTTCCTGACTTTATCAATGACAGCTAGATAAAGTCATGTTTGAGTGCACATTTGGTTCCTGATTTTATCAATGACAGCTAGATAAAGTCGTATTTGAGTGCACATTTGGTTCCTGATTTTATCAATCACAGCTAATCTACAAATGATCGATAAGTGAAGATGCACAAAACTGATGAAGGATGGTTATGTCTGGATATAAGTTGCTTCTGGACCTATAATATCTAAAAATCACTGAAATTTTTAAGAAATCTTTATTTAGGGATGGGACGTCATCAATGAAGCAAAGGACTTCAACTCTGCCTGCCTTCTTGGGGTGGCCCGGGATATCTGGTTCCTCTAGATATTTATAAAAGAAACTGACCAAGACTCCAAGTTTTCTCTGCTTTTTCAAGTTTCTTATGTTCGATGTATGTCAAAAATGGGGCAGCCATCTTTAAATTGTCATTATGACACCACCATGTTTGTCGGCATCGTGATGCCACATGTGGAACACTTATAAGGTTTTCATCTGAAGCCCCATCGTAATAATATAATCTTGATTTTTATACAAAACTTCACTAGGTGATGATCATATGCTTCATAAAAGCAGGATTAAAAAAAAAAAATGTAATAAAAAAACACTAGAATTTCAGATTCATGAAGTTTTATTGGAAAGGGGCTTCACCCCCTCCTCCCTTTTTAGCACCATCCTACTAGGCACCTGACTCTTCTCAGGAAGGTGAAGTGAGGTTAAATTTTCATTTATTTCATTTAACTGCTTTTGTATTTATTTACTTTAGTATTAGGCAGTAAATAAATGATGTTATACAAACCTGTTGATGCATAATATGCCAATTAATACACACACACAAAAACAACACACACACACACAAACAACACACACAAAAAGAGTTTTACTTTATTATAGGAAAGGACTAACCGATGTGTGTCCACATCATTATTCACACAAATGAATATTTTTCATGACACCTCAAACACACTGGTAGTAAATTGACAGTACCTGCATTTATTAAAAGAACTAAAATTTGCATGTATATATGAAATATTTACAGATAAGTTTTCAGTTATTCATTCCTTTATACAACATGTAAACACAAACACACATTACTGTTCATGGCCATATATTTCAAAATAACCATCTTCACTAATAGCTATAATGTTAACTACTGTAACTTCCTTTGAAGTCCTTATATGACTACGATTTTTATTGGCTTTCAAAAACTTATGAAGCTTGCAACTGTGCCATTCTCTGAGATATTTGGTGTCTGAGGTTTTGAAAAACGGATAAACATCACGGCACCCGGGTGTAACCCATAAATGCTCCGTTCTTATTCTAACTCAAGTCTGAGTCAAAGAAGCTCAGCATCGGCGTGGATTCTGAAATACTTTGGATAGATTTTAAACTCCAGTTTTGCCCGGGCAGTGTTGTTAGGCTACTCTTTTCGATTTCCAAGTGCCAAGGAATTTTTTACGTGCGCAACAATGCACTGGGGTGTCTCGATTTCACTGCCCAGAGACCAGGGGGAATTACTAGAAGTCCACGTGAACAAACCCCAGCTTTTACCGGGGATTGAAGGAGGAACCTCTAGCACTCGAGGCAGACACCATGCCTCAAGACCATGCAGCCCCCTATTATCTGTTCTAAATGTACTAAAACATGTACTCAAAAACAAACACACAAAAAAAGGTAAAATACTGTCTACAGCTGAATACTTGTACCCATTCACACAAAAAGGTTACAAATGATAAATAGCTGAACATTCACACCAGAAAATGGAAACAGATTATCAAAAGCTGAATAACATTTGTACTCGCAAATAACAACATGCTATTTATAGCTGAACATTTGCACCAACAAATAATTAAATGTTATCTTTATGTGACCATTCACATACACTTCTTCTTCACATTAACCAGCTGTAAACTCCAGCAGAAAGTTCTGGGTGTTTGTGCACCTTCCGTCTTTACTCTTGTTCCAAAATCTCAGTTTTGTGTGCACACCCGTTTCACAGACTGGGTATTTGCAGGCAGACTCTTGGCTACTCGCCTCTCAGGCAGATGTACTCAGACTTCGAAGGATGTCCCCATTTAGTCAACTCCTACGACGTGCTTGTTGGGGACGCATGTTTTATCCACAATGGGGCCCAGATCCCACACAGGGAATTCACAAACACAAATGATAAGTAATTATCAACAGCTGAACATATGCATCAACAAATGATTACATATTATTTATATTTGAACATTCACACCAACAAGTGGTTAAATATCATCAATAACTGAAATCAGCACCAAGAAAAGGTGACATCAATAGTTAAACATTCACACATACGCACACACACAAAAAGTAATTATCAATAGTTAAAAATTTGCATTCAACAAATGATTAATTATTTTTAGTAACTGGATATATGCACCAGCAATGATAAGCTGTTATCCACAGCTGAACATTTCAGTAAGACATAACTGATGCACACAATTGCTGCAATCTAATTAAAGCCTCCTTTTGTTTTTCTTCGTTGGCAGTACCACCTCACAATTGTCTCCATATTTAATCTAGAAAGCCCAAATAAGTAAACTCACAACTTGCAAGATGAGATGCCTGAGAAAAGCCGCTAACCTAACCATCTGATGTAGAGTGAATAATGATACTATCAGGCATACTGTGAAAATGATAACTTTAGCTAGATTTAATAAGAAACAGCTGATCAAGTGGTTTGGACATTTCAATGGAAAACAACAACCTTAAATACCCTCACAGAATACCTTTTAAGAAGATCAGCTACAAGAGTAAGAGTACAGCCACAACAAATATGGATCAACAACATTAAAGACATGGTTGCCATATTGATTTTTTTGACGCCAGATTGCACAAATTTGGCGCATTAGAAACTGAGCTGGCCTAAGATAATGAGCTGACATTTTGGTGTGTTAAGGTTTTTCCTGGCTTTTCTAAACAAGATGTGCTCACATTTTCTTCATTGTTCCTCTGTGAGAAACAGGCTAATTTACTAAAAGCAATAAAGGCCTAGTTAACATCTTTATTTCAGTTTGTCTTTGTTGTGATGTCATGGTACGGCTGGTACACGGATTAAAAGAGATTCGCACCATCTCCTAATGTATGAGCATCTGTGCATGAATATGTTGTCTTCCTAAACAGATCGTGACTGCGATAAACCAAGGCCCTCTGTAATTAAACTATAATAAAACAGGTAATGGATAAACCATCGCACGTTCACACTACATGCAGTACGGAGTCACGTAGCCTGCAAGACTTATCTGTGCTTGTGGTGGGAGTTTACATGAAAGAAAATGTTAATTTACTAGAATAAATGCGGGATAAAACAAAAACCCAGCAGTGCTACTACGTGATTCAGACTGTTCAGAAACTACTTGAGGATAGAAAGTAGAGATGATGTAGACCTAGTTCTAACTGTGATATATTTTATTACTTTTACCAATAGCCACATTATCAAAAGAAAATGGAAAGCACTTATGACAGCAATCACAAGTACAAAAGTAATTGGGAGACAACATACCCATGGCTTAAAAGATCTTCAGATGGATCAGAGGCAGCATATTATAAACTGCCAGTGCACTATTGTATTGTAACCAAGAATTAGTAAACACATCAAATCATGAATAATAAAAAGATGAAAACTCCATCGAAAAGCCAGTCACAACTCATTACCACTATCACTGCAAGGCAAAGTAATGATAAAGTTAAGGTAGCAGGCTGAAAATTGCTGTCAGCATGACCTGCCATTGTGCAATAAGCACAACTGATCATCTAAGCAAAATCATGATAGTGCATGGTTGGAGGAGAACACAAGAACATATTCAGTTGCACTGAACTTAATGTTTATGTATTTTTTTTTTAAATGTTACATCGCCTGCATTTAAGACTAAAAATGTTTACGCTGTATCTTCCACTTGTTCCAGTGAGGATGACAGTCAGGAATTCAATCTAGAGTTTTTGATGTGAAGTGACTACAATGTTACATTTTATTTGCATTTTTTTCTGGTGTAATTTTAGAAGTAGTTTGCTTAAAAATGATGTTTGTTTTTATTTTGTCTGGCAACCCGGCTTCATGGCATGTCAATAGCCAGTCCCAGTCAACATGCAACGGATCATAAATTATTTTTTCACACAACACTTAATGGCAGAAGTTGTTTATAATGATGATGATGATCTAATCTAGATTCTTCCCAATCCCACAGTGGTGCAGATTACAACTTGCAATGCCTGCATGTTTGCACACAATTTCTGCAAGATTCTTTATACAACTCACTTTTATTATGCTACTGCCAATTAAATTTACACTGATGGGGAAAGAAGATTAATTTACTAAACAAATGCCAAACATGCATCAGTCTGGAGATACAGCTCGTTTAAAACAAAACCTCATAAGGATAAACTTATTGCAAACAAATGGTTACAGTTAAAGCAGTTTAATACCATATTCACATTAGCTACCCTCCATGCAGGTTAATGTACATGCTGTTTTATGCATGCACCTTGAATTATTGAATTCAGATATGCTTCAGCACATCTTGGCCTTTCCCAGGTTCGGGTAATATTCTAACCAATCATTTAAAACTGCTTTCGCATCCTCTGAGGAAGAACACTCTCCTGGGCGGACTTGAGAAATGAGAGCAACCCAAATTTCTTTTTATTTTTCCGGAAATAATTGCTAACCACGTCACTGTCATCTGAAAAAGAAAGTGTACATAATCTACATATAAAGTGTCATACACTGATAAGTTACGGCAAAGCTTTGAATTTGCTAACGAATGTCATTTCCATTAAAAAAGTAGCATTATATTTTTACCTTTTTACCAAATACTGTTTCACATAAACAAAAGAGTGAGCTGAACAAACAAACAAGAGATCAAATTAACACACCACTCTTGAAGACAGTAAGAAATAAAACTTGAAAAAATACACTAAAGTGCCGAATATCTGGATCTCATTTTAAGTCAATGTAGTCTACTACAGAAAATTCTTCTTCTTCCTCTACCCATTACTAAGCCCTTGAGTTTCACTGCTGCCTCTATTCATCTTTGTGACTGGTCCTCTTTTTCCAGTTAGTAAATCTTTAAGTGTTTGTAGGTCTGTCTGGATATTATCTCTCCACAGTCTCATTGGTCTATGGCCATTCAACTCCCTTGCATACACAGTTTCTGCCTCTGTGTCATTCTCTCTATATGCCCAAGACATTTGAGTCCATTAGCCCTTATGATGCCACTGATCAATAGTGATTTAAACAGATTATGAATTTAATTCTTGCTTCTCTTTCTCCATTCCCCGCTGTTTGCCTCTTTGATGGGACAAAGATTCTTTGTAAAACTGTTTTCCAAAATGTGTAATAAAGCTGCATCTCTTTTAGTTGTGCTCCAGGTTTCAAAGCCATATAAGACAACTGGTCTTAGCATTTTTTATACTGTGATCTTGGTGTTAAGAGATACAGCATCTGATTTTAGCATATTTTATTCTAGATTGTATTTCTTCTCTTTGTATGCTAGAACAGGGGAAGTTTTTACCCAAGTACTTGTATGTTTCAAATCGTTTGATTTTCAAATTATCTGTTTGATGTGGCCAGAGTTTTTAATAAAGGACAAGCAACTGCAATACATCATGACAACAGGAAACGTGGAGGGGAAGACAGGCTGGAGGAGATAAGGAGAACGTATGTTAATGGTTAGGCATTATGGTATAAAATAATGGCTGAAGTCACTGCCCGTCCCTTACTACCCAACATCTAATAAAAGGTAAATAATACATGTGACTGGAAAAGAAAACAAATAAATATTAAAATGCATAGAGAAAAGAGAAAGAGAATGAGTACATTAAAAAACGATAACCCGGTCTCATTTGGTAAAATCTCATTTCAAAGGGTGGGATCATACTCATATTTAGGTAGCAAATATTCAGATCCAGGCACACTATGAAAAAAACAAGAACAGACCCAGTTCCCACCCAAAGATAATGTTGTAGGAGTCGACTAATTACGGGTATCCTTCGAAATCAGAGTACATCTGCCTGAGAGGAAAGAAACAGTGTCTGCATATAAAAAGCTGGATCTGTGAGCTGTGAAATGCATGCGCATGCAACACTCAGGTTCTGGAATAACTTCAAAGACCACAGATGAATGAACAACTGGAACTTTCCACCAGAGTTTACAGCTGATGAACATGAAAAAGAAAAAAAGAAACAGAATGAGACATTAAAATATCCCTTGGATATTTAAGGAAGTGAAAAGAAATTATAAATCTAGTATACAGATTCTGTTTCAACTGTAACATCAAAAAAGTACTGCATGGATCAGACACTCAAAGAATGACTAAAACAATAATAAACTAGTGCCTGCACAGAACAGGGACTAATAATGATATGATGAAATCGATAATATGGAGGCTATGAAAAGAAAACAAATTCCAGTGAACTAAGAGGTGAAACAAAAGACACTGCTATCAAATACAGTGAGAAAACCTGTTCAGTATAACTAGAGAATAACTTTCTCTGATACCTACTGGGCAAAAGAAATAGAGGTATAAAAACACATGGAGATGAGAAAGAAGATTTTAAATGTGAAACATTTTTCAGTATTAGAAAAATTGACTCTTTTTCTCACTGCGAGTTAATGTGATACACTATGACACTTGATGCTATGTCAACAAAAGAAGAATAAAAGGTGATGAATGCAGTTAACTGTCTGCTAAGTTTGTATTTTATTATTCTTTTCCCTTCATCCGCTGCTACAGCAATTTTGGACTGAATGCCTGGGAAAAACTGTTTACGTGACTTGGTGACTGTAACATCACAGTGGCTACTAGGCTTGCCTGACTGCTAGATGGTCACAGGTTTAGCCATCTGGATTTTTAAAAACACTGACTAAGACTTCAAGTTTCTTCTGTTTCTTATTCTTTTCCTTTAGTTTCTTAGGCTAAAATTCCTTAGAATTACAAGGACATATTTCTTTTTAAATAGTAATTTTGTAACACTTTAATGGGTCCAAAGGGTAAAGGCACTAATAGATATTTCATCTTCTACTTCCCGCTCAACAGCTGTAAACTCCAACATAAAGTTCTGGTTGTTCTGAACTTTGGTTTTGTTCTAGGAGTTCAGTACTGCCTGCAAATCTGTTCTACAGGTCTGCTGCTGGTGTACTCCAACTTCAAAGAAAATGTCAATCCTATCTATATTCTACGCACACTTGCGAGGTCCCAGGTTTACAGCCCGTGACAAGGATGAATGTGGAGAGCTGTCAATATGTCTTGACCAGTATGTGCCTTGGTCCTGTTGGGTGAAGTTCAGTACCTCTGTATCCCCACCCCCCTTACAGATATAAATAAATTAACTAACATAAAAGTTACCTGTTTCAGTCATGCCAGGTATTCCAGAAGTTGTTGGCAAGACATATTCATTGGCAGAGAGAGATACAAAAAATGCAAATGGCACCAACCACAAGCACAAAGTAAAGTAAGCAAGCACCTGGAAAAAAAGTAATTCATTACTTTCAAAAAGATTCAACAGATTACCTTCATATAAAACTGCACCACTTGGTGGTCAATTTATTTATGACAGCTAGATGTGGTCAAGGCTCTTTAGAAGTGAGTGAACAGTGAAGAAGTAAAAATATATCATCTAAGTCTGAAAAGAATGGTCCAGCAGGAAGTGAGCAGGGAAATCTGGCCAACACTCAGTACTTACTGGATATGCAAGCTGGACACACAATCAGACAAATTTGGCTGACACTCAGCACTCATAGAAAAGTCAAGTTGGAGGCACAGTCAGACGAATCTGGCTGACACTCAGCACTCATAGAAAAGGCAAGTAGGAGGCACAATCAGACGAATCTGGCTGACACTCAGCACTCAGAGGGCAAGTTAGTTGGAGGCACAGTCAGACGAATCTAGCTGACACTCAGCACTCATAGAAAAGGCAAGTAGGAGGCACAATCAGACGAATCTGGCTGACACTCAGAATTCACAGAAAAGGCAAGTTCGAGGCAAAATCAGACTGCTAAAGGTGCCAGGAATTAAAATTCTGTGCCTGCTGGCTGAAGACGAGGACAGAGCACTTATGGGAATGCCCCGAGTGATGTCAGTTCTTCTTATCTGCATTTGCTGGATGTGGACTACGACGGAAAGTTCTGGTTATTTATCCACTTCTAGGACATTTTCCAGAACCTGAGTTTTATTTGCACATCCTTTTTACAGGTCTGGCTTATTTTTATGCAGACTGTTGGTTCCTCTCCACTCAGGCAGATGCACTTCGACTCTGAAGGAAACATCCATAATTAGTCAACGCCTACGATATGCTTGTTAAGGGGCAATGGGTCTATTCTTTTTGTCCCGCCCCCCACAATGAGGCCCGGGAACACACACAGGGGATGTCAGTTCTTAACTCGGTTCACCTGTCAATGCTTCAAACCCGGTTAAGATTTTCCTGCCATATCCCAGATCTCTGTGAGTTTTACCAAACTGTAAATTTCAGTAAATAAGGTCAGATTTCAGCTGCAAGAAAATATGCAGAATGCAATATTCATTCTCAGAGTCTTCCCTGAAATGCCGCTGACATTCAAGTGAGTAATTGTATTATCCCCAGCTAACTGGTGGATACCTTTTGAACAGACCTCAAAGTCTTTTTGTTTGTTTAAAAAAATGTCCATATTCAATACTTCACATAATATATGACAGAAAAATTCAAACAATGATTTACATCAGTTCCAATTTTGAATTAACAGAAATGCTAGAAAACTGTTTATAATGAATTAAAACATTACATACCTCAGCAAATGGATACCAGTTTGTTGAAAAATATGAGAAAGCCACATAGTGGTTGAATAACAGGAGAACTGTCGATGAGAAGATGGGTTAATGAAAATGAAAAGATCATACAATTACAAATAAAATGGCATAAGCAGAAATTCACCATAGTGAACTGACATTTACCTGTCATACCTAATGTTCATAAATAAAATTACTTATTGATTACTCTGTACACTGTTTACACTGGCTGACTTCTGCTGTCTCATTCTTCTGTTTTATTCCTTCTTTCTGATTTTTTCAAGCAGATTTTGCTGCTGCTTGTGCCCTTAACTCTTTCTGTCCCATAAAGTTTTGTACAAAATCATTTCTTTAAATTAAATGTTGATACGAAAACTAATTGTGTGGTAGGAATGAAAAATGAATGAAAGATACCATATGGTTGTCAGATTTATTTAGTATACAATGACAAAACTTAAATACACAACAAAACATGATTCGATGTTTAAGACATGTGAAGAATAGTAAAAAACACACCATGCATTGTTTGGGACTGAAAGAGTTAAGAGAGATTTTTGGCATGTTGTGCCTCAAGTATGACGAGAAAACATCACAATCATCATCACCAATCAGAAAGTCCTTTACAGAACGTCGTTCTCTTCACGGCACACCTGAAAATATCCCTTTTCCTAGCCAGCTTTCCAGCCCCATGTGTTTTCAATACAAATGCCTCGTCAATGTCCTGTATCCATCTACACAGTGGTAGACCCCTGCCTCGCCTTCCACAAACTGTACCCTCCATCAACGTCTTTTCCAAGCCACCATGGCGCTTGATGTGGCCAAAATACAATCACAAAAAACATCACAATACCCATACTAAAAAAAGGAAAAACTAAGACCCAGGCTTCAGGCTATTGACAAGCTGTGTAGGAAAGACAATGGAGAGAATTATCAATTCAAGACTGAAATGGCACTTAGAATCGAAGCAGATTGCACAGATAATTCTGTAATAATTTTAAGCTACTCGTAACATCAATTCATGTGTATCAACTACTTACCTACAGCACTAACAAAAGGTGGTGAAGACAAGTAAAAATATGGGAAATGTTGGAGTATAAAGAGATGAGCAGCACAGCTGGCCAGACCACCCAAGATCATCGTCAGCGTAAAATCCTCAAAAATCAGCATTCCAATGTAGACGCAGATTGTACACTGGTGAGATATAAAATGTTTACAATGGGTTAATTTTTTGAATCCAAGATAATTAGTGTCAAGGTCGTTTACGGTTGTGCCTGCGGCTGATAATAGTGGCTATCCGATGAAACATTAGGTGACAGGAGATTACTGGAGAAAGGCAAGATGGCTGAGTTGAAATGCTAGCCAAAACATGTGCATAGTGTGGCCCTTGGAAAATAAGTGCTAATGTATGAAAACTGATTGGCTGGCATCTCCAAGAACAGTTGCTGCAGCGAGGACAGAGAGACTGAAGTGTGCTGACCAGATTATATACTTTTTTCTACAGCACAATGTAAGCATGGTTAGATTAGCAGCATGGCCGCTGGAATTCATGGAGAAGTGAGGTTAGATCAGATAAATTATCTAATGCACTATCAGTGCTAGTTTTGATATTGTGAGTGTCAATATTCTATTATATATAAGCTGTATTATTGTGCTGTATTCCAACTATGACTATGCAGTTACCTATGGGTATGTTAAAACAGGGAAATGGTGTCACGGGCCTAATGCCATTACGGGTAACTTCTAAGCTCAACCGGTCTGCCATGCAGGGGTGGCCATGTGAAACTGCTCACACCCTTCATTTTTTTTACTAGCCCTTGTGTGTATGTGTAAGATAGTTAAGTGGAAGAGCAGTATCTGTAGTAACTGCAAAGAAATTAGATGTTTGCATTTACTAGAAACTGACATATTACTATTTATTTAAGTTCCACTGTAATGTAAATGTTGGCAAATAGTAAAAGAAATCTCAGACTTTTCAATATGTGCCTCATTCCTTTTGCTGGAGATGCATGATCTGGAGCAGACACTGAAAGTCATGCCCCCTCCGCCTCCCAACAAGCTCTCTCATGGGATATTTTTAACAAAATGGCTATTCATCATTATGTGCCCTGCTAATAAGCAAGCATAGGCGGTCATGTTTCTCCATCTCATACGTTTACCAGAATAATGGATCAAGTAAGTGTTCTTTTCACTCCTGATCCATCTCGCCAAGTCATCTGGGTATTTATCTCCTTGCCTTCCCTTTGCTTTTTTTTTTATCAATCATTGTTTAGCGCAACAAAGTTTTGCACATGACACCACATCATCTACTTTGAGAATAGAGGTGGAGGCAGTCACTGCAGCCTTTTGCTAGCTTGAGAATCAGCTGTACGCACGTCGTAATTGTAACCAACTTATAGAGCATGTTGAGGTCCTGGTAGTTGGCGTACTTTGGATATTTTCCCCAGGAGTGGGTACCGGGTTCAGTCCCGGGAAATGACCAGGTAGATAGACAGGCTGGTTTTGCCCAAATTGGTGGGAATTGATGCATAACAAGCTACATGTTATAAGGGCTCTTTGGGGGCGAGTGAACAATGCGGAAGCACCAGGTTTTGAAGAGAACGGTATTGCCTTGCAAGGAGTGACCAGGGGATCTGGTAAATGATCAGCAATGAAGGGAAAGGTGAGATGGATATACAATCAGACTGTTAGTACCACTGGAACTGCAACTCTGCGCTTGCTACTGCAGATAAGGACTGAGCACGTATGGGAATGTCCCGAGTAATTTGATGTTGATTCTTAATTAAACAATACTGAGAGAGAGTACAAAAGCGAGAGCAAGTGTACAGACAGTGAGAGAGTGTACAACAGTGAGAAAGTATACAACAACAATGAGAGGGTGTACAACAACAGTGAGAGAGTACACCACAACAGTGAAAAAGAGTACAGCAACAGTAAGAGAGTTAACAGCGCAATGAGGAAGTGTATAACAACAGCCAGAGAGTTTACAACAAAAGAACGTGTGTACTGCAGTGACAGAGAGTACACCAACAGTAAGAAAGTGTAAACAACATTGAGAGAGCATACAACAACAGTGACAGAGCAAACAAGAACAATCAGAGAGTGTACCAAAACAGTGACAGAGCGTACAACAACAGTCAGAGTGCACACAACAACAGTGAGTGAGTGTACAACAACAAGAGAGTGTACAACAATAGAGAGTGTGTACAACAACAGTGACAGTGCACAGCAACAGTGAGAGAGAGTGTACAACAAGGGTTGAACAGCATAAAACTAGGGTGTGACACATAATGGGGAAGGTTCATTGCAACCAACCTGATTGAGTGACTGATTAAGTGACTCATATCCATACAGAAGAAATATTCTTACTATGTACCATTAACAAAAAATGTGTTAATAAAATCTTACATAAATTAAATACTTGATAATTTTTCCAGTCATGACAGTGTACTCCTCGACCAGCTCTGCCAAGTAGAACAAGCCAGCAGCTGTATCAGGAATAACAATAAATATATTAAAACATTAAGATTTACTGTCTGAACACTCACTGAATGTTCTTTTATGTGTGTACATGAGACTTTTTTTTTTCTACACATAGTCAGTTCTTTTTCTTTTGTGTTCACCCTGGAAGGGGTGTTTGGCAAGTTGGGTTGTGGCTTTCATCTAGGGTGTGAAACATTGGAGTCAGGTGGTCTATTCCTAACTACTCTAGGTGGTTACCGACAGGGAAGGGATACATGCTGCAGTATTTGCCTATGACACATAAGAGGGTTTCCAGGATGGAATGGAAACAGCAGCAGCAACTACTGATTTAGAAGATGCGTACAACAGCGTCCCATACAACCTGCTCCTCAGACAGATGTCTGTGAAGTACAGATCAAGGTCAGCATGGGCATACATAGCGTAAAGAATGGGGAAAAAAATACAAGATGACAGCAGCGCTTACCAGACAACCACGTCGAGCATGACCATGGAGATTGCCGCTGCTTTTAGAGCACTTGCATGGGTCTCTGAGGAAACCGCCACACAGACTCCATCAACATGCTCCAGAAGATAGCAACAGGCGCTCTGAATGGGTAGAAAGTATCAAAAGAACTGGATCTACACACCTGGTCATGCGGGCATAAAGAGTGCTGAGCGAGGAGACCAAATGGCAAACAATGCACCTAGGCATGTGGGAAGAAGTATGGTCAGATATCGTCAATGCTGTACGAACTGGGCTAGTGGATAATGAAGAATCTCTGACACTAACACAATTGCGTGACACAGGAGTAAAGCATGGTGAAGCACTTCTATACTGTCTTCGAGGATGAGATAGGAGACAGTATAACCAGCTTCTCATGGAAACAATTAGTAGAAGTACTTTAGAGTGGCTGCTGCATCGGAGGACTGAGCACGCATGGGAATGCCCAATGTACAGTGATGTCGATTGTGGTAATATAACATAACGTGTGAAATCTGCGTCTTTTGGTCCAATACATGCGATTTAATTACATTTAATCACATTTTTTAATTTCTGTTTCTTGGAGTTTCATTTTCTCTAAACACCGCCTTTGCCATTTCATCTTCTTCTCCTGTAGTTACCTCACTGGGGTGTCTGAAAAAGAAGGGTGGGGGGGGGAGATAAAACTGGGATAGCTTGGCTAAATGGATGAGTCAAGGCAACAGCACTGACCTGATCTATTACGATGATGATCATCTGAGATAATAAAACATTACCACCTATACTTATCGGCATGGCATGTCATGATGATGATTATTCATGATAATTATTACGCAGTATCCACGCAAAAAAGAGCCAGACTTTTCTTTCAAAAATGAACTTGGCTCCAAGGTCAACCAAGTCTTTGGTGGGTACTAGGTGCGGTCCCGGAAGTAAAGGTAGCCAGTGTTATGCTGACCACATCACCCATCTTGTGCTGGTTGGTCTATAAAAATATAGGTTTAGCCCTATACGCCTAATGGCGAGGGAGGGTCCTTTACTTTTTTTTTTATCCTAAAAAAGACCACGGTATAACATAGCCACCTGTTTCCAGGTAACCTCATTTTGTGCTTTCTTTCATTCATAACTGCCACGACTATATTATTATCAAAGCAGCAGTTGCTTACATTACAGCAAATGTAGAGAGGTGGATTCAAGGGACAGTAAGCACAGGGTCAGGACCAGTGTTTCCCAATGTGGGGCCCACGCACCACAGGGGACAATCTGATTGTTAAGAAAAGCAATTTGATTGATAAGGGAAGCAATTTGATTGATAAGGGAAGCCATTTGATTGTTATGGGAAGCCATTTGACTGTTATCGGAAGCAATTTGATTGTTAAGGGGTGCAAATCAAACATGGAATCGTCCAGAATTTAAGTTACATATGGGGGGCATAAGAATTTTAGAAAGGCCGAGGTGGGGCATGGCACAAAAAATGGTTGAGAAACACTGGTCTTGACCATATTCAATATGCAATGCAAAAGATACTTTTAATCCGGTTTTAAATGACACCTTAGTCAGATTCTGTGGCTAGGAGGTTAGTGAGCGCATCTCACATTACCCAACATAACAGGCTTTGATTCTCATACTGGGTTATTTAGACAAAGATCATTGTCATGACTTTCAGACAATCGTATGACGGTTGCACCATGGATGTTAGGGTGCCCACTATTTAATACTTCCTAAGACAGCAGTGGAAGCCCATATCCATTGTAGCCAATCCCCACTGTTTAGACCGCATAACTATTTGATTAAACTGACATGCTAATGGGAACTTTTAACCGGTTAACAAGAAGAAAGAGGATAGTGAACATATGATAAGGGAATGCCCTGAGTGTAGTGATGAGTTCAGATGTCAATTCTTGCTTGATTCATACATTCACAGCTGAATCAGGCACCAATGAAAGACATGGATAAAATCAATTAGTAACACACAGTGTCACAGTAACAGTACCACGTATTAGTTTCATCACACGCTCTGCTGCAGATACAGCAAACAACAGTATACAATAGAGTACAGTATGCTACGAGTACGAGTGAAGTGGATTATCACTCATTATCAATATCTGGCTAAGTTTTTGTTTTGTTTTTAGTTTAATTTCAACTTTCTATTAGTTTGAAAATGCAATGGTTACATAGGATATCAAGCAATCATAGCAAAGCGAATAATGTGCAGTTAACTCTTTATTACTAATTTTTAATACGTAGTTAGTTTGTAATCAGTATCATCAGTATCAGTCAGCAACAATGTAACAACATTCATCATTTTGTCATTTAGTGATTTCTTATGTTTGGTCGACTTACCAATAGATAATGTGACAATGCATAACTGAATAATTAGAGCAACCCAACTAAGTATGTATAGAAACAACATAGTTGTGTTCAATACTCAAGGTCTGTGAACACAAAACCAGCCGAACAACCTTGAAATCTCGAAATGTGCGTTTTTATTTACCACCATGAACTTTAGGAGAAACGTCGCCACAAAAGTCTACATTTGTTGTTTTTACTGATCTCCCTTGAATTCCGCTCTGACTTCCGGTAGAGAAAATATTTTCCGTCATACACGACTCATCCCAAGGTCTTGGGTTCGAATCTGCCTCGGGTTGGATTTTCTTAAAAAAATGACATTGGATCACAGGTTGACCCAGCTTAAAATGACTAGCAGGTAAATTCCTGGAAAGTAAAGGCGATCGTCGTGATGTTGAACTCATCACCCATAGAGGTCCGATTAGCCTGTAAAATTATCTATACTATCATATGCCAGGGCCAATGTGCTACTGGTGCTAAATGGGTCCTTTTACACTCACACACGCTTGTACACTCGTACACATTCACCTGCACGCGCGCCCACATACTCTCTTTCTCCCTCCCTATCACTTTCTTTCTCTCTCTCGCTCGCTCGCTCGCTCTCTCACCACATACCCGTCGATCCCCTGTCCCCTCTTTTCCTTTCTTCTATCCGGTGAACAGCTTTGTGGACTTTTTGTCTTTTTGTGTATGGTAAGGAGTATCAAAGCGAATGTATGTCCTTTTCATTACTCAATGTTTACCACACACACACAAACGAACATGTATCTAAACTTCTTTAACAAAAAACCGGGGCTTTTTATTAGGAAAAATAAATAGCCCGTACTGGCGATAAAGTGTCTAAAACAAAGTGCCAGTCCTCACCACTAAGTGTCTATTACAGCAACGCTGAAAAACTTAGCCCTACACAGGGCACAGGCACTGCGTGCTACACGTACCAGACACAGACAGACAGGCATGTATAGTAGAATCCCTATGGTCAAGACACTCGATGAGCGTGTCCAATGGTATCGGACGTTTGACTGTTTTGTTTTATCAAGTAGGATCTTTGCAAACTAGACATCTGAACACTGGCAGGGCACTTGATGAACACAAGTTGACATTTATTAGGATTCTCGGTCAACAGAAGTATCTATCTCACAGGACATCACACAAGCGATAAACACTAGATGATTGCCACTAGGTGGATGAGGATCACCCGTGGATAGGTCCCAGAAACCGCGTTCAGCCATTAGACCATAATTACAGCCTGGCTAAATTGCCGCCCCTGGCAAGAGCTAGAGTAGGGCTTTGAATAACGAAAAATTGCATTCCCCCCCCCCCCCTCCAAAAAAAAAATGACAAGATTCTCTCATTTAACAGAAGTATGAACTTAAGTTTGTCATTTAGTAGGGAACTTGGCCAGCAGACTTCAGTCATTGTTCAAATAAGTTTCAGGTGGACGTTATAGCCATACATTTGGTGTGGGCTGATGAGTACCAGCGGTTTGAAGGCTTTCGAGGCTGAGTCGAACTGGAGTATGGAGGAGCTACAGGTCACAAAATAAATCCACCCACCATCTTCAGCACCCCCTCCCCCATTTTCTGTAGGTGTATTGGAAAGAAATTGTTTGAAATATCTACATGTGGGTTCTGGTGCAAAACTCAAGTTCAGAAAAAAGGACCACAATTCAGAAAAAGACGAACAATAAAATCTTTCCGCCAGAGTTTATAGCCGGTTTAAACGAAAAAAAAAAAATGTAACTGCATATGATTCAAACAACAAACTGGATATTTTTTTTCTACGTGGTCTGTTTCATTGCATTTCACCAGGTGAATACTGCACAAGAATCGTCAACTTATAAAAAGAGATGAAAGCAAAAAGGGGCATAGAGACTCTAGCGAACAATATACAATCCTCGACTTGATTTATCCTCAGTATAAACCATACTCGTTTATATTAGACCATCCTCGAAAACTCAGAAGTTGGCTGAGCCTTATAATGATTTTGACGCCCTTGCTTTCCATCTAATCCTAATTCGTGGAAGCATACATTTAGCCAGCTGTTCGTGGTGCACCCTGTCAAGAGCTTTCTTTTAGTCTATGAAACATGCATAAATATATTTCTTAACTTCTACAGCAAAATGGTTACTTTCCTTTAGAGTAAACAAGGCAGGTCGAGGGAGGGATCATCTGCATGGACAGCACATGGTCTCTAAATTCTGTCCAGGCTTTGAGAGGATGAACTTCTGCTAATTATCGTTCACGTGCGAGGACTAAGAAGAATACTTTTAAGTGGCAAGATAATATCACAAACACGGAGGTATTGAAAAACACGTATTACAACAGTTTTCTCAATACCCAGTCTCCGAATGCTCAGGTGGCTGGTTCACAGCCGGAGAATGGAGGATAGTAGAGTCCCCAAGTAAATCCTACATGGCGAATTACAAATGGGTAGAAGTTGCCCAGGCCAGCCTTTACTGCGATTTAAAGATGTGTGCAAGCTAGACATGAATGATGCGGGTATTGAGGTAGACTCGTGAGAACAAATTGCTATTGACCGTGTTGTGTGGAGGGGGCAAATCCAGAAGGGAATAAAAACTAAATGGGAAAAAATGACCGCAGAAAGGACAAAAGCTAATGAGAAAAACATTAAAGACTTGCGATGTCAACAACGATCTTGAAATCCTATACTACAGTTGTGGAAGACTTTTCTGAACGCGGGCGGATCTTGCTAATCACACTCGCTATCGTCATAGGCTGCAAGTCGCATGCCTTGTCATAGTATACTATAAAACTACGGCCTGGAAAGACGGAAAGGTACCAACAACAGCAAAATCATTATGCCTTCTTCTCTTCTTTTTTTCTCTGCTCATTAGATGCCTCACGGCGACAGGGCATGTAGAAATCTCTGGAATGGGCCTTTTTGTACGCTTCGGATAAAATAATTTTCAGTGTCTCTGATATTTCTGCGGTTGATGTTCTGCGTGGTCGACATCTGGCTCTATTCAAACTGAGGCTTATTCTTCCACTATCTACCACCACAGTGTCTATCATTTCCTGTAGTTCTTTCTGACTTGTTGCTATCAAGACTATGTCATCAACATTATGTAAATTGTTTATATTATGCCCACCAATGTGTGTATGTGTGTATATATATATATATATATATATATATATATAAATATATATATATATATACACACACACACACACACAGTTCAGTCCAAGTTAGCAGACATACGCAAACTTACATTCTTCTTCTTCTGTCAATATCTATTATCTGCTTATGCCACTGGGCGTCGCAGTTCATCAGACGATCGGCAGCCGAGCCAGGGCGCCCTTAGTCGCTTGATATGCCATGATGTTGTGCAGTCTCAAAGTGTCAGTGACTCCTTCAATCCATGATCTTCTCGGTCTTCCCCTGCCTCTTGATGTTTCGATTTTCAGGTTGTACGCTCTTGCTGCTGGCATCGTTAGTTTCATTCTCATTAGATGGCCAAACCATGTCATCCTCTGTTTCTCAATAAATTTAACGATGGGTGTTGTTCCAACAGTTCTTATAATAACATTGTTTATCACTCGACCTCTTCGTTTTATTCACAACTGATCTCAAACATCTCATTTCACAGGTGACTAGTTTTCTTTCGTGTTCTTTTGTCAAAGTCTCACAAGTCTGACATTGGTAACCTCAAGTCGGTATAATGTTTTATCTATAATTTGTCTTTTTGTCTCTATTGGGATAGCAGGATGTTTTAAAATTGCACTAACATTCACAAACAGTAAATTTCATAAATATCTCAAATATTGATTTTTTTACGATTTTATACAAATTATTTATACGAGCTCATGCAAATACTTAATTTAATTAACAATATACGAGAATGCGTTTGATTGTTTGCAGCCTCGCATGTTTCAAAATCTGGCCATATGTATTGAAATAATTTTTCCAATATGGCCGCTTCGTGGCAGGAAACACCGGAATCATCTGATCATGTGAATTAACCTTTACTATGTGACCAGCTTCGTTTGTGCCTAGAGATTTTATCTGTGAAAGTTCTTATACTAATACCACAATGAATCGACATCAGATATTAACAGGAGCTTGCAACGGTGGTGATTGTTATGCACTTGGAAGTGTTGAGGGAATCAATTTTGTGGTGAGTTTACTTTATTATTATTTATTATTATTTCATTCAGCTGTCTAACTCTGGTTTACTCGACCTGTGTGTTTCTGTTGTAGTCTCGACACGGTTGGCCAATTTTTCAGCGAAGTCTTATACATATTGAAGTATAGTTAATTTATATTGAAAATTGAAACATTTGATGCTGTAGTTATAATATTTATAATCTGTCGCAAAGTGGTATAGTAAAAGGACACTGTCTGAAGTGTCTGGGTCAGTTGACCCCGGCTTTTATGGTTTGAGGGGCGTTGTCGTCGTTTGTATTATATAATATTAATTATAAATAATCTGTTGCTACGCCGTCGTTCTTAATCTTATCGGTATTAGTATTACACGGAAGGTCTGCTTGATTTATCCTGATGCATCCATACCCATTAAAATTGTTTCGACATTAATTTTAAAAACGTATATTTATATTTTACCCCAATTAATTTAATACTGATTTCATATCTATTTATAGTTGTTAGCAAGCAATAATATAGCAGTATGTAATTAGTGTATAATCTAGACTAGTGGCGTAGATCTGAGATACATTTACTCCAATTGACTCTTGAATTGATGGCTAGTGTTATTGGAAAGTAATTTTTTTGAATTATAGCAGCTTAGTGACCTAGTCAAGGCAAATGGTGAAAAATATGCATAAAAAATAAAGAATTTCAGCTCCCCAGCATTCTTCTGTGTAGTTTTATGTGGTTGTAGTATTACTATTAGATTTAGTTTTAAGACTGGACAGTAGAAAATTGAGTTAATCAGTTTACTGAAACTTACTTGAACCTGCATTGTGGTCTCTAATATGAACTTTACTGTATGTTGTAATTCACTCCGCAACCTGTAAAGTTTGGGTGTAAAGTGTTAGAGCTTCTTATAAACTGTCATAGCATAACAGTTTTGAGGGACTTAGTTACCATCATCACCCATGTGTGACCCAGGCTAAATAGGAAAGCAAAAAGTTGTAAGATTGTAATCTGCCATAAATGTTACTAGAGTATGACTAATGAAGGTGGACTAGCTTCTCATTCCATGGTTTAGCTGCAAATTACAACAAGACATGGTCACAACTACAAAGGTTTGTATGTGTGTTGATTAAGGCTACATACTGCATTTCAGTATGCAAAGTAAAGAAATAATATAAGTTCCTTCCTTAAGATGATGTCTTCATCTATACTAAGTCACAATATAAATTAATAACCTAATTTCTTTCCTGTATAGTTTCCAGAAAATTCTTAAACTTATCTGACACCAATTTAATAATGTTAGAATCATTTCACATTATTTTGGTCCAAAAATATCCCATCATCCTTGGGTAGTAAACTATGGCTGCTATCTTAGTAAGCAAACACACACACTGTTTCAGCACATGTATGGCATACATTGCAGATGTTTCAGCATTTTATTACTGAATGTGAGCATATTATTTTAAAAATGAACATGAATATAAACAGTGTATACTGCACAGTCTCTGACCACTGCTAGTTTTCTTTTTTAATTGGCTTGCTTCTAATGTCAGACAAGAGAAATTATATTTAGAAACAAATATTCAGGATTAATGGTTGTTTGACATGTCATGGGTGAAAGGATGAATGCACTGTAATCATGAAATGTATTGTTCCCATATCTTCAGAAGTAATTAAAAGGTGATATTACCTCAGTATGTAATGTCTTTAATGTAATCAGTGCAGTTTTTCTTTTCTTCTTCTTTGTATCTTATCTTTAGCTGTTCTCTAATAATTAGTTTTCAGCAGGGAACTGTTCTGCATTATGTAACCAAATCAGACAAGCTATTAAGATCAATTTCTGTCAAGAGCCCTTACTGGCAGCATCTATGTTTTTATTTGGTTTCCTGCCCGAATCAAAACAAAAGCAAAGCAGACATGAGCTTTTATAGGTAAGATGTTTTAGGAAGCTGTCACAAAAGTTAATCTTCATCAGCAAAATGCATATATATTGTGACTGCTTATAAACCTGCCCGTACACCGGAGCAGTGTTTTTCATGTGGTGATTAACAGACTAATGGGGCCGCAGAACAAATTTAAGAGTCCAAGATAGCATTTAGAAAAAAAAAGTCCTCAACTTTTAGGTGCAGTCCTTTTTTGTGATTATGATATGAAAAAATGACAACGTCCTTCACTTTGACTGTTTAAAAAAATTGGTGTCAGTGATGACCTTCCAGAATAGAAGGAGTCTGCAAGTCTTAGCTAACTGAGAGCTATTGCACTGAAGCAGTTTTCCCAAAGTGGGCGCTCACCCCCACGGGGACATTCCAAAGGGAGCTGTAGCAGCCTTGATCGAATTTGGGGGGGGGGGGGGGTTGCTGAGATGCTCCAGAGGGTCAGTAGCAGGCTCAGGTGTGGTGGGGAACTTTGAATTAAACTAAGACAGAAGTGGAGAGAAAAAGAAAGAAAGAAACAGAGAGAGAGAGGTCATTTTGATAATCTGTTTGTACCTTTCTCAATATAGTGTAACAGATTAAAATCACAGTGATTGGTTAGTTTTTCAAAATAATAAAAAAAATTATGTTAAATCCAAACAAATTCATCCTTTTTGTTAAAGAATGTGTTATTCTTTGGCGACAACTAGCAAAAATAATTGAAAGAGGGAGAGTGAAGAGATAAATATATTGATCGCCTGGCCACAATCATGGGGTTGGAGAAGAGCACCATCTTATCCATCAATCTGCTGATCATTTAGGATGACAAATGATGACCCTTTATACTTTTCATTGTGGTACAAGATGATGATAATGCTAATTCCAGGAGAGGGGGTGATTTGTTTTTACACTGAAAAAAAAGGGGCAATATGCAAAAGTTTGAGAAACACTGCACTAGAGTAATAGTTACCAACCTATTGTGACTGATTATTCCCGACTCAGGTTTCATGAATTCTTCTGTAGTGATGACTATTTCTTCGAAACACCTATATAAAAAGATTGCTCCCCTTATGAGTGCTGGGATCCCATTGTGGCAGAAAAAAAAAAATTTGACCCACCACTCTAACAAACATGTTGTGAAAGTCAACTTATTACTGATGTTTCCTTTAAAGTCGGAGTGCATTTAGCTGAGAGGCGAGGAACCAACAGTCTAAATACCAATAAGCAAGATCTGTAAAATGGATGTTCATGCAGATCTCAAGATCTGGATAAAGTCCAGAAATGGATAAACAACCAAAATGTTCTTTTATACATCCGTCTTGCCTTTTCTCGGAGTGTAGAGTGTCGGCTAGATCTGGGAAGAAGAAGAAAAAAAGATTGCTCAGCAAAACGGCATTCACCTTCTCACAACTTTATTATAAGTATGAGCACCAAGAAACAGAATGTAAACAGCATATTCATACCAACACTGCTACCAGTGCCAGACTTGGGCATTATCAAAGGCTAACCTACGTAAAATTAACACATGTGAAATTATATGCCTGAGAAAGGCCACCAACTTAACCATCCAAGACAAAGTTAGAAATGAAATTATAAGACAGACTGTAGGAACAACACCATGCAGCAGATTAATTGACAAACAGAAGATCAGATGGTTCAGTCATTTGAGAAGAATGCAGCCAGAACAACCATGAAAACAGGCGCTACACATGAAAAGATCTGAAATGAAAGCTAGAGGCCGCCCTAGGGAGAACATGGACTGATGATATTAAAAAGCTTCTAAATCAACATAGAGTGGACGCAGCAATTGCAGCCCGTCAAGCAATGGATCGCAAACTATTCCTGCCCACAACGCCTAACAGCAGAAGTGGAAATTGATGCTGATAATGATTATAAGAAGTCATGAGCATAAGCAGAGAGCAACAGACCATCGACATAAAGATTCTAGATCACAGCCTAAAACAAGTGCAAGAATTTAAATACTTGGGAAGTATCTTTACATTCACTGGTAAAATAGACAGAGAGATCGAAGCAAGAATCCAACAAGCCAACAATGTCGCATACCAGCTTGCTCCAATTTTAAAACACCCTGCTGTCCCAGCTGAGATTAAAAGACAAATTATAAATACAATCTTTATACCGACATTAGGTTATCAATGTCAGACTTGGACATTAACAAAAGAACACGAGAGAAGACTAACCACCTGTGAAATGAGATGTTTGAGAATGGCTGCGAATAAAACCAGAAGAGATCGAGTGAGAAACGATGTGATTACAAGAACTATTGAAACCATACCCATCGTTAAATTTTTTGAGAAGCAAAGAATGAAATGGTTTGGTCACCTAATGAGAATGGAACCAACTATGCCAGCATCAAGAGCATACAACATGAAAATCGAAACACCAAGAGGCAGGGGAAGACCAAGAAGAAGATGGATTGAAGGAGTCACGGACAACTTGAGACTTCATAACATCACGGCATATGAAGCGACTGAGTGCGCCCTGGCTCGGTTGCCGATCATCTGATAGACTGCGACGCCTAGCGGCACAAGCAGATTTTGACAAAAGAAAAAGAAGAAGAATGATTAAAAGTGAAATTGCACATTAGTTACTATCAGTAAGCTGAATTAGTAAAAATGACAGTTATTTAAAATATTCAGTTTGCTCTGTAATATATGCAACAGGTGGTCCTTGCTAGTAGTCAGTGTCTAGTCTGATAAAAACTTTTAAGCCATGCAAGTAAATTTGAGAATAATAAGCTAGTACCTTTAATATGTTGAGTTGCTTTTGTTTCATACATTGTAGCAAATTTGTTTTCTTTTTCTTTATTTTATGAACAAATTCCCACCCCCCCCCCCCCCCCCTCCTTTTTTTTTTTAGCCAATCTCCACTTTTTTAAACTTGTTGACACTTTCTGTTATATCTAGGGGTAGCCTAAGCTTGCCTATCAAAGCCAGCTATTTGCATTGTACACTTGATGTTAAAGCATGGCATGTCTACATTTTTAATTAAAAAGAAAACAAATAATGTTATTAATCAAGGAAAAGAAGAAAAGGTCAATTTTATGTGTATATAGATAAAATTAGATGACAGTTGGATGAAACAACAT